TGTTCCTCTCTTGAAAACCTTCTGAAAACAAAGCTGTGTTGAGGCAAGATTCAATCCGCACCCTACTGATCCACCAAGAGTACATATGAACCCAATAGCAAACTTCACTTTAGAGACTCCAGACAAGTCTCCAGAGCCATCTTGAAACATAAGAAAGATAGAGGAGATGGTGAGAAGCACCAGAGAGTTGTTGAGAAGGGAAGGTCAATGATATTTGGCCATTCATTGACAAATATATTATATTAATTGTATATTTGTTTAATTGCCTTTTATACTTAGACTACCTAGAATAGACTAGCATGATTGTAGGAAATCTTTTGTATAAAGCTACGTCTCCTAATTCAATAAAATTATTCAAATGGCAAATACTTTTCTCTTCTTTTCATGGTATCAGAGCAGGGCATGATACCCTAGCTCTGTGCATCTTCCTCCTTTCTTTTGCCTTCTTTTTATTGTTGTTTCTCTGCATCTGCTCTCTTTCTTCTGCCTTCTTTTTATTGTTGTTTCTCCTTATCATGATAGAATAGCAACCTTCGAATAGAGGCAAGCTTGATGCTGTCAATCCATATTCCGATCATCCAGGAATGGTGCTTGTTTCCAAGCCCCTCAATGAGGATAATTATTCGACATGGTGTAGAACCATGATAATTTCTTTGAATGCCAAATCCAAGTTGGGTTTCATAGACGGGACCACCACAATGCCATCTGCCACAGCCAAACCAGACGACTATGCTTCGTGGAAAAAATGCAACGATATGATCCTCTCTTGGATTCTCAATTCACTCACACAAGACCTTACAGACAGTGTCATTTTCTCGACCACCGCCTAGGAGGTATGGGAAGACTTTCGAGATCGTTTTTCTCAAAGCAATGCCCCTCGTATTTTTCAGATTGAGAAGGACATTGCTTGTCTTGCTCAAGATCAAATGACTGTATCAGCTTATTACACAAGACTAAAAAAAATTATAGGATGAACTAGGATCCTATAATGACACCGTTTGCTTTTGTGGGGCAGACCATAAGAGACACAGATTGATGCAATTTCTCATGGGACTCAATGAGTCCTACAGTGCAATCCGAGGGCAAATTCTGTTGATGAATCCACTCTGATGCTGCCAAGGCTTACTCTTCCATTGTACAAGAGGAGAAGTAGCGAAGCCTGGGGGCTGCACGTGAGACGGTGGAGAACTCAGCCATGGTTGTTCGAAGGGCTGAACCGGTGGCTCTGGCTGTTCGACATGGACAAGGTTCTTCTTCTCATTCCAACCCATCTAATTGAAAACCTTTGCATTGTTCTTATTGTGACTGTGACCATCATGTACGAGAAACATGTTGGAAGCTGAATGGGTACCCACCAGAACACCTTAAACATGCATCAAAAAGGTTTAATCAAGGACACACTCATTTCAAGCGCAACCATAGTCAACAATCTTCATTCAACAATGTCAAGGAAAGTCCAATAATGCAAGAAGTGCCGTCGGTGACAAATGGGCTCTCTGATTTGCAAATCTAGCAAATTTTATCTATCATGCAAGGTAAAAAAACAACACAATCTACCAATCCTAAAGCTAATGCTGCTTCCTCAGGTTTGTTACAAACATTGTTGCGCCTCCATCAATGAATTATCGACAGTGGTGCCACAGACCACATTACTTTATCTCCAACTTTGCTTGTCAACGGCAGTAAAAGCACCTTTTTGCCACCAATTGCTATGCCAAGTGGAGAACAGGCTCCAATTACATCCATTGGGAATTTACCTTTGAATTTTGTTGTTACTTTAAAAAATGTGCTTGGTGTGCCATCTTTTAAGGTGGATTTAATGTCTGTGAGTCGAGTTACCAGAGATCTCAATTGTTCAGTAACCTTTTTCCCTCATTGATGTATTTTGCAGGACTTGACGACGAAGACAACGATTGGTTTGGGAACAACGAGATGGACTTTATTACTTGGTTGCATTAGCTTCAGAGAAGCCAAAACCTCAAACTCCATCCGCAGCAGCCACTTCTTGCAGTTTTCCCAGTTCTCAGGCCACCTCCTCCACCTCTTTATGGCATCGCCAATTGGGGCATTTGTCTTCCTCTAGATTAGATTTTATGGCAAAACATTTGTTACATTTCCCTTTTCAGTCTAATAATGCTTGTGATGTTTGTGCCCTTGCAAAACAAAGTCGATTTCCGTTCTCTGTTAGTTCAATTTCGTCTATTAGACTTTTTGAATTAATTCATTGTGACATTTGGGGCCCCTATAAAATTGTCTCTCTTTCTAGTGCAACATATTTTTGACTATTGTGGATGATTATTCTAGATTCACATGGGTATTTTTTATGCATCACAAAAGTGAAACACAACATTTACTTGTCAATTTTTTCTTATTTGTCCAAACACAATTCCATGTTTCTATAGCCAACATTCGGGTTGATAATGGTGGAGAATTCTACTCTATGCAGGAATTTTTTAAACAAAAAAGGACCACTTACCAACATTCTTGTGTCTATACTCCTCAACAAAATGGGGTTGTAGAGCGCAAGCACCGCCATATACTTGAGTCTACTAGAGCTTTTCGTTTTCAAGCCCACCTTCCTTTACATTTTTGGGTAGAATGTGTTTCTACAATCGTTTGCCCACACCACTCCTTTCTTGCCAAACACCTTTTGAACGACTTTATGGTAAACTTCCTTCTTATTCACATATTCGAATTTTTGGGTGCCTTGCCTATGCTACTGATGTGCACGTCCCCCATAAATTCACTCCTCGAGCCAAACGATGTATTTTTCTTGGCTATCCAGTTGGTCAGAAAGCTTACAAGCTCTATGACCTTGCCACCCACAAAATGTTCACTAGCCGTGATGTTGTTTGTCATGAAACTATTTTTCCTTATGAGTCCATTCCATCCACTTCCTCAAATTTAGCCCCAGTGATCCCTCTTTCTGTACCCAATCCTTCTCCACCAGTCCAACAACCCTCACCGCCAAATGCACTTGCTAGTCCTTCTCCTGAACCCATTTTACGCCGCTCTCAAAGACCTCATCACCCTCCCACAGCTTTACGTGATTATGTCTATAACCAAGTAATGTCTCCCAACCATTTGTCGTCTTTGTCATCAAGTCCACAAAAAGGTACGCGCTATCCCATTTGCAATTTTGTCTCTTATCATCGTTACTCACCATAGCATTGCTTTTTTACTGCTGTTGTCAGTCAAGATATTAAGCCTACATCTTATACTGCAGCAGCTTCTCATTCACATTGGCAAGAAGCAATGCAATCTGAATTGGCTGCTTTAGAAGCTAACCACACTTGGTCTCTCACTTCTCTTCCTCCTGGTAAGAAGCCTATTGGTTGTCATTGGGTTTATAAAATCAAACGACACTCGGATGGTACTATTGAGTGTTTCAAAGCTCGTTTGGTTGCAAAAGGTTTCACACAGCTGGAAGGTATAGATTACCATGACACTTTTTCTCCCACTACTAAAATGATTATTGTTCATTGTTTATTGCCTTTAGCAGCTACCCAGAATTGGTCTCTTCACCAACTTGATGTCAACAACACTTTTCTTCATGGCGATCCGCATGAAGAAATTTATATGTCTCCACCTCCTGGTCTTCGGCGACAGGGAGAGAATCTAGTGTGTCGCCTTCACAAGTCGTTATATGGCTTAAAGCAGGCTTCCCAACAATGGTTTTCCAAGTTCTCTACAGCTATCCAAGCTGCTGGCTTTGTTCAATCCAAAACAGATTACTCATTATTCACATGTCAGAAAGGCAAAACTTTTACAGCTTTGTTGATATACGTTGATGACATTCTTATTACGGGTAATGATGTCAATGCCATATTAGCTCTCAAGCAATTTCTACATAGTCATTTTTGGATTAAAGATTTGGGTGATTTGAAATATTTTCTTGGCATCAAAGTTTCTCGATCGAAGAAAGGTATTTCCATCTCGCAACGAAAATATACTTTGGAAATTTTAAAAGATGGAGGATTTTTGGGTGCTAAACTTGTGAACTTTCCCATGGAACAAAACATACAGCTCTCGGATTCAGGTGAATTGCTTAAAGATCTGTCTCAGTATAGGCGACTTGTTAGACAACTAATTTATTTGACTATTACTCGGCCGGATATCACCTACTCGGTCCATGTGTTAAGTAGATTCATGCATGCACCATGCAGACCACACATGGAAACTGCCTTGCGTGTATTACGTTATTTGAAAAGCAGTCCAGGACAAGGTTTGTTTTTCCTTCTCAAAATGATTTATCTTTGCGAGCTTTTTCTAATTCGGATTGGGCTGGTTGTCTAATATCTCGTAGATCCACTACGGGTTATTATGTTTTTTCTGGGATGTTTTCTTATTTCCTGCGGACAAAGAGATAGAAAACCGTATCTCTTTCCTTAGGAGAAGCCGAATATAGAGCCATGACAAGTACATGCTATGAATTATCCTGGCTACGCTCATTATTTAAAGATTTGAGAATATTACATCCGAAGCCAGCATTGTTATATTGTGATAACACAGCCGCCTTACATATAACTGCCAAACCCGTTTTCCATGAAAGAACCAGACATATAGAGATGGATTGCCATTTTATTTGTGACAAAATACAAGCTTGTTCAGTTGTAACCAAACATATTGCCTCAACAAATCAATGTGCGGATGTGTTCACCAAGCCATTGGGAAAGGAAGCTTTCTCAACTATGATACGCAAGTTGGGAGTTCTTGACATTCACTCTCCAACTTGAAGGGGAGTGTTGAGAAGGGAAGGTCAATGATATCTGGCCATTCATTGACAAATATATTGCATTAATTGTATATTTGTTTAATTTCCTTTTATACTTAAGACTACCTAGAATAGATTAGCATGATTGTAGGATATATTTGTTTAGTTGCCTTTTATACTTAGACTACCTAGAATAGACTAGCATGATTGTAGGAAATCTTTTGTATAAAGCTACGTCTCCTAATTCAATAAAATTATTCAAAAGGCAAATATTTTTCTCTTCTTTTCAAGAGTTGATGATTAAAGGAGTGAACTTCTGTGAATTAAGTAAAAATGAGAATAAAGCATTGAAGCCTAACTGGGATGCTGAAATGAGAGTGACAGTAGAGACAGGAAGATATAGCATCCCAATTGAAAACAGAAAGCAATTTGATGCTGTTAGTAGGCCAAGGGAGCCATAGACTGATGCAACAATAAAGGAAGATCTTGGCCGTGTTTGAAGAATGCTTGTGGTGGGATTTTTGAAAGCTGAAACGCAGTAGAAGAGAAGGAGAACTGGGAAACCTGCAACTTCCATTAGTGTTTCAATCCATTTGCTTTTGCCTCCTTTGACATAGTACGATCTTCCCAAAAGTATAGCCACTGTCTGGCCAACGAGGACAATGAAGATGTAGAGAGCTATTCTCAGCACCATTTGTAACTTATGTGTTTTGGCAATATTGATTGGCGGTCATATTTGTATTCTCAGCTGCATTTGGTTCTTTAGCCTCCTCAACTGCAAACAAACTCACAAAAAGATATATATATATATATATATATTAACAATAAGGGCTGTACTAATAAAGTAATAATGCGAAGGACTAGTCTCTACATCATATATAGGCGTATTTCAAATAATACTTTCACCTCGTTCATCTTGATCTCTACATATATAGGCGAATTTCATTAATTTTCTGTAAGTAACACTGGTTCTATTAGTAGTAGATTTTATGATAGCAAATTGGAATAGTTACGAACCCCAAGCGATTAGTCTTGCGATCAAGGAAGTTTGTTCATTTCTTTAAGTTTTTGGGTTCAAACCTTGGGATCACCTATCACAATAACATTGTGACTTACCTGGTTCTTTAAGTTTGTAGAGTGTTTAATGGATTTCGGAGATTAGTTGAGATACATATAAATTGGCCCGGACACCCCGGTTATCAAAAAGAAAAAATTGCACTTGTTACAACTTACAAGAGAAGTGTAATCCTTTCCAACTTAAATTTGGACGAATTCTAAATAGAAATCACGAACTCAACGTTGAAGTAACAGAATAAGACAATATTCCTAAAACTATGGTATGGAGTTTACCTTTTAGCAATTACTACCACTATCACATAAGTTCTCTTCGCTGCCATATCTATAACCTAAACCAAACAAAAATTGGATTGTTTCATGAACTTGGAAATTGGAATGTATATATATATATATGTAAAAAAAAAAAAAAAAAAAAAAAAAACACGTACCCATGATGTGGAGCTGCACTTCTTGAGCTTCTCCCATGTCAATGAAGTATATATTTTTGAAGAACTTCCGAGCTGTAACGCTAGAAGGAGACAGAGTGACAGACAGAGAGATTAATTATATTTAGATGAAATTAATTTGTCATACATGTATGTATGTATGTATGTATGTATATCCACCAGAACCTAAAACTGTAAGTTGGATAATAATTTCAATGGTTACCCTTATTAGCAACTAAAGAGGAATTCAAACACATGATCTCTTGAGTAATACATCCTAGAATTCCTATCAAACCACTCGATCATCCAGAGATAACTGATATCATTGAACTTAGCAAACAGCTGCCCGTGTAGTTAGGATATCTTCTTGTCTATTCTCAATATAAACGTCAAAAACAATGGCCACCATAAGTGTTTCTAATTGGGGCTTGATCGAAGGCCATAAGAAGGGGGCAAATCACGTTTCTAATTCGAGTTTGATTAAAGTCTATCAAAAAAGGTGATATGATTTTGCCCGTTAATTTTTCACAATTATTATGAAACCATTGGCTTCCATAAAGAAATGTAAGAATTTAATACCAAATAATTAAATATTAACTGAAGAAGATATACCAAATTAAAGGGCATCCTGGACTCAGTTGAATGTTCAAATTTGACATGATGATATATTATTGACTGAGTTTGGTCGAGACATGAAGCAGGGACCAATCCATAGATTTTTCAGATGTTGAATCACTCTTGGAGCATGTATTCTAATTCCTACACTTGCAAATAAATATCAATAATTTGGCAAAACAAAATGTGCTTTTGACTAATAGGATTAGATTTTGATAAACAGGTAGATCAATATTCATTTAACTTAACCATCCTTAGGTGGTTAGGTGATGCAATAGGAACTTTTAGGTGTATTATCTAAAAGGTCTTGAGTTTGATTCCCCTCGGTTGTTAATAGAGGTGACCTGGAAGTTTATCCAATCATTAACTTTTTGAAAGACTCATTGAAATACACGCAAACTAACACGGACACCCAGATTACCCAAAAAAAAAACATTCATTTAATTTTCTAATATTTCATACAATGGAATGGAGTAGAGTAAACAAGTGATCAGTTTTCTAGAATATTAGGTTAAGGGTATCTGTTTACAAGTTGATTCCTTGTTCTCATTCTTCACTAACATTATTTCTCTCAACAATGGAAGCTTTCGCAGCATCATTTGCATTTCTACTGTCAATTTTGGACTTACAGTCATCTAAATAATGCTGATACACATAAGAAACAAACCCCAAAACAGCCAATATCAAAGCCCCCACCTTCAGCCCACTCATTTTATCTTTGAAAAACACCACTGCTAGAACTGGAACAACAGGCAATCCCAAAGTACTTATAACATTTGAGAACACTGAAGACACTTCAAAAATCAACCCAATTGCGCCAATAGAAAAAACCTGCCAACACACAGCAGTCCATATCAAAGTCATAAGATAAGACACCTTCCCAATCTTAAACCCCTCCATTTCTTGGCTTAAACCCTTCCATTCTCCACTACCAAAAAGCCCCACAACTATAACACAACTGGCAACCAGATCTGGATAGATTATCATATCCAGAACCACCTTGAACGTTTCCTTCTTCACAACCTTGTTTAAAAACCACTGTGTAAGTGAAAGAATTAGGCCATATCCGGCTGAGGCCGCTAGAGTACATATGAACCCGATCGCATACTGTCGTTTTGACAGTTGACCATCAATGTAGCTTGATTCAGTAGAGTCATTGGTTTGAAAGATGAGGAGAATGGAGGAAATGGTAAGAAGGGTCAAAGAGTTGATAATGAGAAAAGTGAACTCCAAAGAGTTGAGGAAGAAGGAGAAGAAAGCATTGAAGGCTAATTGAGAAGCGCAAAGGAGGGAATAAGTGGAGACTGGGAGGTACATGTACCCAACTGAATACATCATGGAGTCAGCAGCTAAAAGAATGCCGACTGAGATATAAGCCGATGCAAAAACTAAAAGAGATGGAGATTTATGATTGAGATTGTTGGAAATGGGATGTTGAGGTAGTGATGAAATGAAATATAAGGGAATAAGAACAGGGAAACCTGCAGTGAGCAAAAGTCCGGCCAACCATTTGCTGTTGCCACCTTTGTCGTAGTATAATCTTCCAAGGAGAGTGGCGACCGTCTGACCAACAAGAACAAAGATTGTATAGATAGCCATTCGGATCCACCACATCAAATTTCTTTGGCGGGTGAATGAGTTTCCTTCCTTGTCTTCCTGGCCTGCAGGTAACATCAAGTTTATTTACTGGCTACATACCATGGGACATCATTGCATCGAAGTTTTGAAGTATATGTGAGACGAAGCTATTACTGGGAGCCTGTGAGGTAACGTTACCTACCAACTAACCACCTTCGATCTTGGTCCACTCTGATCCAATGGTGATTAGTGGGGAGGCAACGTTGCCCCATTGCTGTATGATTTGTTTCTTTTTCTCCTATGATTTAGTGACCGTAAACAGAAGGAAAATTAAAAAAAGATGGTCAAAAAGGCATCATCCATATGCTTGCATGTATCTCTGTGGATCAAAAACAAAAACTTATCACTCTCATCACTTACCTACAATATGAAGCTGCACTTCATGTTCTTGAGAATCTCCCATGTCAATACTGAAGAAGAAGGAACTCCCCAAAAAAGATCAAGTCTTTGGCAGAGAGATAGAAAGAAAGAGAGAGAGGCCCTTGAAAATATTAACGAATGGCAATAATATGTAATCTGTCTGAATGCGAAACCAGCAACCCATATGGGGTTATAGACTTTTGGTAAAGCGACACCATTTATGTAGCATTAATTGAAACATGTGCTATTTAATTTCAGGATGCTTTTCTGGTCACCGTTATACTCTAAGCATTTATTTGGGATGAACAAGGACAACAATCTTGTCTTTAGTGGGAGCCGAGTCATTTATAATAACAGTAGAGTTTTTAATTATCCGATTTAGATGATTCCCGCCGGCCTATTTGGATTCAATCATCAGTATTTAACTGACATTTCTCTGTTTTTTTATGGAGTAAACGACATTTTCCCACCTAAGGTTTTCTTAATGACACTTTTTCAAAATATCATTTTTCCATCTAACATTTATATTCGGTTAATATCCAAATATTCAAAATATACTTCACTTTCTTAACTGGTATTCAACGAGTTAATAGGAGTTAGGGTAAGAGAGTTTTTGTAAAGTTGAGACCGGCTGATCAAATGATGGAGACCAATTGAATATTCGTCGTCAGAATTAATCGAAAATCAGTTAAGAACAGAAAACCCTAGTTCTGCAATGGTTGGCAATTGGCAAAAAATCAAGTGCTGAAGTGAGAAGGGTTTTGTATAGAAGAGACTGGAAGTTCAAATGGTGGTGACAAAAAGAATTTTCGTCGAAATCGGCTTTGAGTAGTAATGAAAAATTAACTTGGGGTGGGAAAGTAGTATTTTGAAACTTTTTTGTGTGGAAAAGTGTCATTAAGGTAAACCTTGGGTGGTAAAAGGTGTTTACTCTTTTTTATATGGGTAGAAAATGCATCCTATTATCACAACCTTGAGGTGTGGTTGAAACTGCGGCTAGTCTAAATTGTTCAATAAAGGAAAATATACAATAAAACATCTTTATAATCATAATACTGGGACTAACTAATTTTATTACTATAAAGAGGTTATAACTTAACGGAGGTGTAGTTACAAAAATTATAGTTTTGATTTCTTATTTTATAATTAATGTTTTAGTAGTACAGTGATATTAGGATTTCAATACAGTGTTTCAATTGCCTACTTTTGAAACGGATAAAAGATCATTTCTTAGAACCAGCAAAAATAAGTGTCATTGATGGAATTGTAAATACAGTTGATGCATGGTCAATTGATGTAAAGCCACAGATAATTGTCAATGGTTTTAAGCGCTACAAAATTAGGACCACTAATGTCAATGAACTATAAGTTACAAATGAAGTGGATGAGGAGAATAAAAGAGTTACTATAGAATTGAGTGATCAGATTTGACAAATTCACTACATTAATCAAATGAATATTAATGTCTTCTTCGATTATCCAAATGAGCAACAAATCGTGTATACTTTAACCAAAGGAGAAATCATTGTTGCAATTAGATGAGAAGAGAAAGGGAATAATCCTAGGGATAATAGTACGG